TTTTAGCGATGCGAATAAATATAGATAGATATAAAGATACAAATAAAACAAGATGAATCAAGAAGATATTAATACCACAAACCAGCAGAAGGGAGGCGAGTTCTTCCTCCCGCATCGATCCCAATCCCAAAGTATATTGGTATGGTTGGGATCTGATACGATAGAGATAGGTAGGCAGGTTTCTCGACTAACTACTCGTAGGTACCTAGGAGTAACTCTACCCCAAATTTGGCAATTCGATTTGCATTACTTACTTACGGAGTACATACCATACACACAGAATTTTGGATCTAGGTAGGAAGTATTCATTTCCTCGTTATGTCATAGCATAGCATAGCACAGTATACCAAATCAAATCAAATCAAATCATATTACGAGTACGAATACCCACCTACCCTACCCTTCTATCTACATACCTCCTCCATCAAACACCCCATACTTCTACCACATCTGGATACGCATAGTATTGAAACGCAACACAATAGCTGCATGGCAATGTGCATCGAGTACGTACCCAAATCAACTCGTCATACATCCCCTCCGCACCCACAACCAAGATTCCCACCACGGGTCAGGGCCCCTCGGATCCGTGATCCATCCATGATCCATCCCGGTACTTAACGTTACTAGATAGTCGATACCGGAAACCCGCTAGTGTGGTCCCCGAATGACGATCGGATGAATCCACTCCTGACTTCACCCCTCGATCGGGAGTGGTTTGTTCCTTGTGACATTTGCGGATTGGGGGTTGGGATCGGGGGGTGGTGGGTGGTTTTGGATGGGGATTGGAAATGGGATTTGATGGGATTTGTGCATTTACCTATCGTAGGGAGTGCAAATACATATGTATGTGTATATATATATGTGTATATATGTGTGGAGTATAGTACTCGTAGGAGTTATCTTATTTCATCGATAGAATATGATATCACAGGATAAAGTGGTGTGATACAAGGCGATAATGTGGATAAAAAGATTCGTAGATGAATATATTTTGAAATTGTTTTTTGATATAATTTAAAGGTTGTCATCATGAATAATCCATATCCGCCATTTCCATTCTCATCTTCCAATCGCAAAATCCGAACAGTGTTCACGCTGCTTCGCTAGCAATTAACAATTGCTCGCTATCGTTATAAATCGACCTTGTATCTCCTCTTCCACCCGTTGTACATTCGTTCTCCTGACGCCTGTGCTAGATTTCTCCATCCACCCACATCCGCATCCATATTTCTAATCATATCCATATCCACACCTTATTCCTCGCCATTATATCCCCAAACACCATTCTGAATTACTGCCCCTTGACAATTCTACATTCACAAACATTAGCCCAAGTTCCATTCACTCCTGAGCCTCTATACCTCCTCCCCTTCTTCGTAACCTTCTCCCAAACATCACAACAGAAGAAGAATAAAAACTTACGAATTCCACATCTGTCCCACGAATCCTGCTTTGGGAGCCTGCTCTGCAAAACTCTCTCGTCTAGCCTTTGAAGCCGCATCACTGCTCGAGCGTTTCTGGTTCTGGAGTCCGGAGAAGAGAGTACCTTCTTGAGAGCCCTGTATTGTGTGTTGGTGATTAGCGAGGAGTTCTGAATGGAAGATGTGTGGAGAGAGAATGGATGTGTGAATTGGTGTGATGTTTGTGTATGATGTTTATTCATCTTGGTGGGGAGAATAGTGGAAGGGAAGACATCAAGATAGTTTTTGGAAAGGAGGGGGAGAAGTGAGGGAGACATACACGTCTGTAATTGACGTTGTTGGCTGGAGTAGCAACGCTGCCAGTTCCTCCCTTGACTGCGGTTGTTTGTTGGGAATTCATTGTTTTTAGTTGGTTGATTGATTGATTGATTGATTGATTGAAATGTATTGTATTGTAATGTGTTGTGTTGTATTGTGTTGTGTTGTATTGTATTGTATTGTTACTCTGTGAGAAAGAAGTAGTAAAGACAATTGGTATTTGTATTGGAATGTTGATAAGATGTGATATGAAATTGATTCAAAAACCACACGAGAAAAGCTCTCCTAATATACTTCTCTACTTCTCTACATCTCTACCATCCCCCTCCTCCCTCATCCCCTCCACCAATTCCCACCCAGCTAGTCCGAGCCTCCAAACCCCTCAAGCTTCATGTTGCAGATAGATCCAATAGCACACGATCCGCAACCCCCTTACCAATCAAACTCTATCTTCCCCTATCAAACAAAGGAGATCTTGGAAAGGGAATTCATTTTGGTCCAATCAATCGATTCACAATCATGATTCATGACATGTTTTTTCGATCTTCGATCCTGTACCACCAAATCATGGCCCAATATTCGAATACACATCTCACGTCAAGGTATCACTTTACCCCGCAAACCTGGCGTGATTCTCTACCATGTACTTGTTAGACATGCATATACATATTGGAAATCAAGGGTCTCATCATCCATTTGATGTGAAGATAGCATTATTTACATGTTTAACACCTCATCAAAGCAAAGCATGGTCGTATTCGTACTATTATCTAAGCAGGGGAGTATCAATTTATACTTTTATACTTTTATACTCTTATACTTCTCATACTAGAGCATCCTCAAGGCATCATCACATCAAAGAACAATTCAATTGGAGATAGAAATCGAAGTCTATTGAGGTCCATCGATCGAGCACGAGCATTGATTCCAATGATGTGGTGGTCTCGGTGGTGAACTTGGAATGTGGGGGGATCCATATAAACCAATGACGAATTGACTACGAAGTACCCTCTCATACCATGCATTTGGGGGATCCAATGAAAGAGTTTGGGGTAAGGTTAACCCTGGATCATCGGTGTTTTAAAGTTCCGATGGCCGACTTTGATTTTCACTCCCGTCTGCTGTTTCTGATATCGAAGATTCAAAGTATCCTGGAGGGTTAAGTAGGAATCGATGGACTGATTTTCTTTTTCAAAATAGTCTCATAGTCTGCCTCCACGGCAGTGGCCCTCGGAGAGCCAGCGGGGTGTCATTTTCCACTTTTCATTCTCCCATTCATTAACAGAAATTCAACTGACAGTTTGTAAGACAACATGGAAGCAAGTCCTCAAACCCTCTTTTGCTCGCTCGTTCTACTCGAATTTCATTTCATATTTTCTTCATTCCTCTTCCAGATTGTAATACATAACATATCCGTGGAAAAGAAAGGAAGATGAAAAGAAGGAAACAATTGTCCATTGACTTCAAACATAGCTCCGAAAATCATTCAAGCGCAGATACTCTGTAGTAATCTAGCCCAGTTAACTTGACTTCTAAATTCCAGCTCTCGAACATCAAGAAGATCTGGAGAATGTTGAGTAAAGCTATTAGGTACCTAGTATACTCCATGAAACCTCTACGAGTAACGAGTACACACTTGTGCAATCTAATATATTGCCAAATACCTTATTGCTCACAGACTTTTGTTTGTTCAAAGGTATGGATGAATACTTTCGAAGTTCACAAGAACTGGTATAAATTGAGGGTGTTGAAGATTGGTTATGATTTTGCTATAAATCTATTCTATTGCACATCCATCAATGAATCTAGAGCAATCTAGAATTTCGCACTCTTGTTTCTCAATGCGCTGAAGTAAAGAATCGCCATACTTGGCTCATATATTCCATCGCTTTGCTCCAGTACCAGTACCCGCGATATTACACCAGTCTGTTCAGAATATCACCAATAACAAGCAAGTTAAAATGTGAGGTTGGTATGAATTTTGTTTTATTTCATGTCACAAATATGCAATCAGCACTTGCAAGAAAAGCCGGCAAGCCGGTCGGTCTCTAAGGCCGCAGACTTGATCCGAATAGGAAGCAAGCTGAACAGTTGGATGAACTGCTTCATTGTAATCTGATCCGTAGATGCAGTAAAGTACAACCAATGATGCCCCTTGTTTTCCTGTCAATAACTCCATAAGCCCACGTTACGACAAAATCCTAAAGAACTCGCCGAATCGATACACTCGAAGCCCATGCCATATTTTTTTGATTGAAACGCTTATCTGACGATACCCTCGAAACGGTTCTTGAACCATCTAGGTTGAAATGTTAGCAAAATCATTGACATTAAATTCTTCGGTGAGCACATAATTTGACGGTCTCATCACGCTTGATCTTGTGGTTGGCACCAATGGAGGTCTTGCAGCGACGACGCTTGGCAACACGCTCACCTGGGCGGGTCATGCAGGCGTAGAAATCCATTCCGTAAATACCGATCGCAGGGTCGTACTTGATACCGAGATCGATGTGTTCGGAGATACCGAAACCGAAGTTACCGGTCTCAGAGAAGTTGCGCTTGCGGAGCTCATATTCCTTGACCTTCAATCCACGCTCCAAAATTTCCTCAGCCTTTGGGCCACGGACGGTGACGTGAACAGCGATCTTTTCGTTACGACGGATACCGAAGGTACGGACAGTGTATCTGGCCTTGCCTGTGGTTTAAATGTTAGAGGAATTTCTAACGAATAATTGCTATAATTGGTGGATGCCTACTGTAAACTGGGGTTTGACCACTCAATTGTTCCAAAACTTTGGCAGCACGGGTAAGTCTGTCACCAGATTCTCCGACGGAGATGTTGAGAACGAGCTTCTGGATTTTAAGCTCCTTCATGGGGTTTGCGGTCTTCTCTCCGGATGCAGCCATTTTGAATGATGCTGTTACGATTAGTCGTGGGGAATTGTCGTTTTTCGTCGTGGATCGTCAAATTCAAAAATAAACTCCAAAAGGTCCAAAAAGTTATATTCGCTAATAAGTGCGCAAACCCTAAAAGGTGGGCGACGATGTTTAGGTAAGCATTTCTTGTGGCCTCATGTTTGAGGCTTCAATACTTTTTCATTTGAAGCTCGAGCCAGCCTTGTACAATCTTGAAGAACCTCATATCAAGAACTCATATACTCATAATAGAGTTTTGAAATCAAAAGAAGTGATCGGACTTCTATACACATTCTTTGAAAACCAGAGAGCCGTAATAACGCGCACTCAAAAGTCATCATCATGGCGAACAAGCAGGGAAAGATGGTGAGTTTAAAACCCCCTTCTTAAAACCATTACAAGCTTGTGTTGACATTATAGGCTGACATTTACTCTTTCTACAGGCCGGTCTCGTATGTGATATCCTTCAATGCAGCTATTGCAGCTTTGCGCGACCCTTTCGACCTGAGATGTGGACTGATTGAGTTATAGATCAACTACCGGATGAGAGTGACTATGAATGATGGGCGTCAAATGGTCGGACAGATGTTAGCATTTGATAAGGTCGAATCCCTATGCATCAATCACAATGGGTCATGCTAACTATCCAATAGCACATGAACCTCGTTCTCGCCGATACCGAAGAATTCAGACGCGTCAAGCGCAAGGCACCAAAAAGTACAGCTGCTCCTGGAGCTAGTTCCACTGCACCACCTCTTGTTGAAACCGAAGAAAAGCGTACATTAGGTCTTACTATTATTCGAGGCACACACGTCATATCTCTTTCTGTCGAATCACCACCACCAGCAGATCCAAGTTCTCGTTTAGGTGCCAGCGTCCCAGGTGGTGCTGTACCATCAGCTGCTATGGCCGCTGGAACTGGAATCGCGCGACCAGCTGCTGGAAGAGGGGGCTTGGCTGGTCCTGCTGTTGGAATTGGTGGTTTCCCGGGTATGCCAGCTCCTCCGCCATTTGGAAGAGGTGCACCACCTCCAGGATTTGGTGGTGGATTTCCTCCTCCAGGTTTCCCTGGTCCACCTGGTCCACCAGGAGGTTTCGCTCCACCTCGCAGATAGATATCTGAAGAACAATGGGTTACACGATCGTTTCAAATTGAATCTTAAAGAATATTCTCAGAGGAGCATGCTGCATATAATCTGATGAATGGTCAAGGCATATTGAACATGATGATCGGTAAAGAAATAAGAGAAGAGAGATCCAAAGGAAACTCACGGACATGCATGATAGGGGCAATGCAGAGAAGGTTAAATTCAATCAGAATAAAGGCGTTGAGGGGTGGCTTTTGACTTCATACCAAAATTCGCAAATTTGTAGCATAAAAGCAAGCAAGCAAAGCGACAACGCTAATTGAATTCTATATAATTTTGCTCATTCTCGTAATGCAGGTGTTGTAGTTCTCACTCACATCATTAAATTGGTTTAATCTTGCCATCTTCTCTTCTCATTTTCCCCTAAAACTCACCCATTCAAATCCAGTCCCGTCACCACGTGACACTACATCAAAATATAATTCTCGGACAAATTCAGGGTAAATCCGATCCCAGCACGTTGTTCCGTCCGTCCCGTCAAAACCTATTTTGGCAGCTGGGTATCAAACAACAACAATCACATCACCATTCAGAATACCTCGAAAAATATTCAAGATGGCTGCGTTGGTCAAAGCAATTAATGCGAAGATTCGTAGTAACCCTGCGGTTAGCTATGTTTGTTCTACTCGTAAGTTCTTCTAATCTTTCAAACCGGGAAAGAGGGGAGGAGGGAGAGAGCTGGGAGGAGGGATGGATGGGCATTGGCAGGATCAAATTGAGAGCGGCGTGGAGGAACCAGAAGTGAGCTGAGGAGGTGAAAGTTGATTCCAGTATCGGGAAAGATTGAGAGTGAGAATGAGGGAAATGGGTGGGGAATTGACGGGTTAGAGAAACTCGGATTCCAAAATCCAGATTTGGCATTCGCAGCTCCGGAATCTCATAGAGCGTATGGAATATATACATGAGATTGTCTTCTAACACTATGATCAGATTTCTGGGGTCCAGTCTCCAACTTCGGTATTCCCATCGCCGCAGTAATGGACACACAAAAGAGTCCTGATTTGTATGTCTCTCTCTTCTCCCCTCTTCTAAATTTAAATTCACATCTTGAAAACCAAGTTGCTAATTATTTTCCTCCAATAGGATTTCGGGTAAAATGACTTTGGCACTCTGCATTTACTCCGCAACTTTCATGCGCTACTCTCTTGCTGTCACACCACTCAATCCTCTTCTCTTTCTCTGCCACTTCGTAAATGAAGGCGCACAACTCACACAGGGTTACAGATGGATGCAATACCATCAATGGGGGGGCAAAGAGGCCGAAGCCAAGGCAAAGATCGGAACTGGGGTAGAGGGTGTTAAGGAGAGTGTCGTGGAGGCTGTGAAGAAGGCTGAGGCAAAGGTTGAGAAGGCTGTTGGAAAATAAATTTGCGGCGTGGAACATGAGAGAGATATGAGAAAGGAAAGGAGAATTGTTGGCATGGGAGAGGCGCTTTGCAACACTGTACTCGTACAATGGGTTATGGGCTAGGAGAGATGCAGATGCTGGAGTATCAAAAAGATATCGGAGAATGCGTGCGTGCGTTTGTGCATTTCACCTAGAGGAGGTAAAGCAATGCAAAAGATGAAGAAAGACAGATGATGGATGGAATTCTTAATGCAATTACGAGCTGATACCTATTCAATAAAAAGATCACGATTTTTGCATTTTTGAATTTGGCCGAATAAGTCTATATTTGTTCGTTGCATTGATGTTTAATCGAGCATTAAGACAGTTTTGATTCTTAAGCATTGTTTATTCACTCCTCGCAAAAACCACAAGAGACCAAATCTTCGGATGGTCTTCAGTAAACGGTTAGGTAGATTCCAAGTTTGTTGAGTTAAGACGGTATATACATATATACATTGCATACTAGACAAGTACCTAACACAAGCTATACAACAACCCAGCCCGGCATCATTCACATATAGATGCAAAAGGGCTAACCATCAAATCTCCCAAGCGGCGAGAATCGAGACATCCGTTGATTAACATGTTGGTCTGCGGCACAGACAGATTGCGGCGCTGATTTCATTTCTGGGGATATGTGGGTACTAGGTGGTGGTTTGGTGAGGAGTGGTGTTTGGAAAGGAGATTGGGGATTGGAAATAAGAAGGGGAAACAAGATATGAGAGGGTGGGGAGGGGGTGAGGTGAGAGGTGAGGGTGAGAGGTATGAAAATCAATAGATTGATTAAAAGAGGAGTTGTGGGAGTTAAGCATGTGAAATGATGGGATTTGTTAAGGTGATGAACGGGGCAGGAGGGGAGGGGAGGAAGGGAGGGAGAATATAACGTCAAGTGAGAAGAAGGAGTGTGAGTAGGAGTAGGGGAACAATATATTCTACTATGTTGGTAGTAGGTAGTTGGTTAATGATCATCGAGATTCGTATTGAGATATCTCGTAGGTATACGTAGACGGTGCGAGTCTTGATTAGGTATCCTACCTACGTAGTATCATTCGTTTCGTATCATATCGCATCATATCATATCATACCAATTTACGGGGAAATGTAAAATCCGATAACAAGTTTAGAAAAGGAATATTCTTACTTAGTGAATATTAGGTATTATATATTAGGAAATGCTAAATTGAAAAAGATGTTTTGTGTTGTATACAAGGGGGGGGAAAGGGGGGTAGGGTATCAATTCCAACATGATCATACATGTTAGAACCTAGGAAGAAGAACGAAGTGGTGTGCTGGGGTTTCATCAACGTGACGCTGGTATGCTGTTGAGATTGACTTTTAAGATTGTGGAATCGTGGGTATTTGGAGAGGGGGGGGGGGGGGGGGGGGGGGTATACATATGTGTGTGTGTGGACTAGGGATGAATTGCTTCTATTGCATTGGGAGGAGAAATTGAGAGATGAGATAAGAGGGAAATTGGGTTGGCAGGAAAGAGAAGAGAAGAGAAGGAAAGATTCAAGATGTGGATTTCGAATGGATGGAATGCAATGTAATGTGATGCTGTGAGTTTGTGGGTATAGAATGCCCAGGTGGGAATTGATGAAACGAGAATCAAAGACCGGGAATCACGCATCAAGAGTTAAGCGACGAGGAAAGAGCAAAGGTACAATAGTAGGTAGGTAGGTAGGTAGGTATTCTTTCATTTTCATGGCGCACAATCAATCTAGATAGCGAATCTTCCAACTCCGGATTCCTAGGCGTATTGTATTTCCAAAATTGCATCCAGCAATATTAATATAGATTTCAAGTCCAGCTTCTTTCTTTTCAACGAGTGGGGGTTTCTTTTGAATTTCTCGGGTTTCTTTCTGAGTCCTGGTATCGTGGGAGTGGATGTGTTTATCCTATTCATCCTTTCATCCCCCCTCCCCCCCCCTGGTTTGTTTGTTCGTTCGGTTGTTTCATCCGCCGATATACCGTGGTAGTGCAATGCTACCTACCCCTAGCCCCTTCATCCACACCCTTTCATCCATCCATACACTTTAACTGTTAAAGCAAAAAAAGAAATTGTAAACGACTGCAGCGTTATAGGGAGTATCTTCCAGCCAACCGACCAAACTCCGTCCATCAAAAAGGTAGTTAAAAAAAGAAATAGGGAAAAAGAAAATAAATGTCAAGGAACAATATAAAACATGGGTGTATGGTGAGTATGTCCTAGACACCAAACACACACAAAAACCCAAATTCAAATCCAAGTCCCAGCCCAAGAATTCCAAAAACTATCCACCCACCCTCACACCACAGACCAAATAAATTATCTACATTCACACCTTCTTAATTCCCAACAATTCTATCTTCCCGAATTTGGAAGCGGACTAGCATAAGCACCGGGTATCGGTACACTAGCATAAGTTTGTTCGCCCGGCGCCGCATCCACATGTTCCACAACTCTCTGTTGTTGCTGCTGAGGTGGTGGCGGCGGAGGAGTCTGAGCTTGGAATGCTCCCTGATCCATCTTCGGCGTGGCGCTTTGCACTTTAATCGGAGGTGCTTGTAGGGTAAACGGTTTCGCTGCACTCATTCCACCATACGACCTTGCCTCTACAAATCTCGTTCCATGACCTTCCTCGGCATCCGGACCATTCTGATACGCGCTCGGTGGGAATTTCGGAGATTTGGCATATTGGGAGTAGGAGGGGCTCAAGGGGCCAAAACCAGGCGTGTTGGGTGCAGATTGGGAGCGGAGTTGAGCGAGGTAGAGATCTGAGCGAGCGCGATCGCGAATGGCCATGGACTTGCGAAGTCGTTGTTTGGAATAGTAGCGGTAGAAGACGACGGCGTAGATGGCGATGGTGATGGATTCGAGGACGACTTCGATGATGCAACAGACGAGACCCCAGGACTAGAGTGAAGGTGTTAGAATGAATTGTGAGAATGAATTGAACGAGGGGAGAAACTTACTTGCAATCGGCAGACTAGGGCATAGTCCACTTCTTCTTGAAAAATTTCTCGTCTTTTGTTGTCGACACATGACCAGCCCCAGATATCTTTGTTGTTTCCAGAGTTTCTTGCACCCTGTAAGATACCAGCTGCTACTGCCCACATAACTGTACTGAAGATAAAGTAGGCGACTGCAAAGAGCGTATAATAAACCGCAACCTTCTCTGCTCGCTTGTGGCCTCCTTTCCAATAATTGTAGAAGACAACTAGACAAAGTGCAAGTGATACACAGGATACTGAAAGAACGACTATTTGAGGCCAAGTCTTTGTACCCTCTGCCCAAGGCGGAAGATTGCTTCGGGCTGGTAATGATTTGGTTGCGTTGAAGATGGTGACGGAAGTTGAGATCATGGCGAGAACGATTAGACTGCAGCTGAAGTTTACAAATCTTAGGAGTAGCTTTGCTACTCTGACTCTGGTCTTGACTTTCTGCTCAATTGTTAGTGTGAATCAAGATCATTGTCTTGAAGATTCTCATACCAAGTCCTTGACTTGTTCCTTCTCAGTCAATTCCTCATGCTTTTCTAAAACCTGTTCCTCTCGAAATGTCGGACTTAATGGGTTCATCATTCTTCCCGGCGTGCCGGGTACTCTTAATGCGCTTTTTAATGGTGATGATGGTGTGAGTGGCATCTCAACCGGAACACCTTGAGATTGTCTTTGATTATCTGATATGTAGCCGAAGCCAATATCGGAGGGTTGTGATTGAGCCATGTATGCTTGTGATTTCGGGGCCTGGGAATCTGATGTGCTTGGAGGATCTGCAAATGGTGATCTCTTATCATCTACAGGAGAATATACAGCCGTCGCTTCGGCGAATCTGGGTGTTCGAGGAACTTTGAGTGATGAAGCTGACGAAGCTGTAGATGAATCGCTAGACGATCGGGGCTGTGTGAGGGGAGGTGGACGCCTCTTGTTTGTTGGTGGTGCTAAATAAATCAATGAGCATACGGATACATCAACGATAACTAATAGTCAGACTACTAACATGACATTGTGATGAATTGAAAAGGAAGGAAGGACAAATTGACGCAAGTTACTCGAGTATATCGTGAGGCCAAAAAGAGACTTGACCAAAAGCACTATCAATGGAAGTGCAAGCAAGTAAAATGGTTAAAGGAAGAAAAGGTTGTACAATTAGAGACCAGCTACCAAGGGAGAAAGAAGACAAAACAGTTCTTGAAGATGAGGGGATGCCGTAGGGTTTTGTGTAGCGCGCGCAACAACGACAAAAGCAAGAAATTGGAATAAAATACCAGGCTTCGTACGACTGTTTGAAGAAAGCGGGAGATGGAGAGCAATGATATGACTTGTAGATCAGATGCAAGACCAGGATATCGGACACCTAGTGGCCAAATATTGGCCTCGCACTGAAGGGAAAGAATATAACTGGATGAATGGTGGGGTCTAACCTTACAGATATTGGGACCGAAATAGACGCCCGCTGATAGTGTGCATCAAAGATGCGTTTTTCTATTCGCACGAACTAAACAAAAGTAGAAAGTGTGTGGTTCTACCCGTCGATATATTGTCTAGATCGATGGGGGCAAGAACTGCGGTCTCAACACAAGGCTGAGTGAGATTTATTATAAATGATTCGACATTTGTTGGATTTTCAGCCACGAGAGGAATATCAAACATACGCAAAAGATACTTTTGAACATGCAGAAAGAGATGGAGAAAATTGAAAACGATATAGAAGACAGAAAATTGCAAGCAGAAATTACACGGTTAGAAGCAAATGAGTAAGGTGGTACTACCCATCTCTCATCTTTTTTTGGCGCCCACTCTTCACTACACCACCACTCAGGGCCATTTTCTGACCTGGTCTTTATCAATGATTTGCAGAGCGGGGGATTTCAATTCCCTTCAATACTCCCGGGCTGACCTCTTTGGCACTTTGCATCTGCATATTGGATGTGTGAACGATGCAAACCAGGATATGATTGGAGGAAACCGATATTAATGCTTGAAGGAAACACATGCGAGTGAGAGTGAAAATTGAATCTTTCGGCTATGATTTGCTAGTGATATACATGCTGCTTTTAAATCCGAACATGGTGTGCACGATGAATAAACAGGGGACCACAATCACAATTTATGTATTGGCTTCAAAGTTTTGGCTGCATTTAATAATTGAGATAAATCTTACACAACTAAAACAGCAACTACTCCCCCAGCCTATCCGCATTAGCGAGGACTAGCTCGGGCGGTAAACAAACATACTAGGTATGTCAGCACCAATCGCGATTTATCCATCCTCCCCCTTCATCAGCACGGACTTGGCGGCATCTACTTCTGTAAGAACGACAAGTACCATTTCTGATGGACCCTTGACCAGCATCACCAAAGTCTCTATCTACCGTATTGATCTTCAGAATCCAATCAATCCTTCATTATCAGAAGAAGCTTGGACATCTATCGTTTGATCATTCGATAGAGAATTTCAATATCGATTGATATCCAATAGATAGATTTTCTTTTGGTGTTAAGGAACTATTTTTGCTATATTCTATACTAACTTTGTCTACGGAGTATGATGGAAAAAACTACCTAGTTACAAGGCAATTAATCATAATGCAAAAGAATACCCATTAGATTTATCAAGCATCCACGCACTGCACTACGCAGGCTTGAGGCAGGTACCATATATAGATAGGTAGGTACACACACACATTGTACATCCAGATAAAAGAATCTATATTTAAAAGATGTGATAGTACACGCATACACATTCATCCGTATTAGTATTACTAGTTGCAAAATATCAATAATAATAAAATGATTACATAGATCGAATTATCAATTCAAATCATTTTTCAAGAGAAATTTTCTATTCAATCCATGCAATCAATTCCAAGATATTTCCCATGTCTATGTCTGTTTCTATTTTAAACAGATCAAAGACAAACAAACCACAGTCCAGACGCCTTTGCGAATTCCCGCTCATCCGTTCCATTAGAAATCTAGATGTAACGATAACAATAACAATGATGATGATAAAATAGATCATAAGCATGAGTACCTAGGCTATTCTCCCAAAGTCCGTATCCCATCTGAACAGAATACTAGACAAGCAGTTACCCGTACGAACACCCTCACACTGGGCTGTTGCACGAGAGATACCATAGTTCTAGTGCTGACTCCATTCACCCATCATCTGTCCTCTCAGGTGTCGAACGCACCAGTGAAAAGAGACATCACAATTTACAAACGCCTTTTCAACATTACCGAATCCCAGATGATATAATAATGCTCTAAAAAAAGTCCTTTGCATGTTGCAGATTCATGTTTCCAGTTGAAAGTCATGGCTGCATGTCTGGGCCGATGGGTCGACAAGAACGGTCTTATCGTTTCCTGCCCAATCCTACGTTTCAGGAAGTCGCAAGAATTCGATGGATTTGTCTTACTCTGATTATGCACGTGGATTATACTACATATAGGTACTCCATGGTCATGATAGCAAAGCAAAAAATGTGCCTGAAAGCTCAATTGAAAAATAGTCACAAATGTTGAATTTTCATATCACGTTACGCCCTGTGGGTCGTTTCTATGGTAGGGTATCTCTAGAATTTTTCCCTCAAATGGGTTGAAGCAAGGTTTCCAACCTTGCAATATCCGCTCGCTATCCCGAACCTTACGGAATAGACAATTTAGTGGTGGAACAAACGAATGCTTTGCTCGACAAATGTGATGTCAAGCTTTTCAGCAGTTTCAAAGACATATGAATCATTTTGACTGCCACTTGGTGCAGCAATGTACTTAACACCTGATCTTGCAGCACGGTAGACATTATCGATGAATGGGAACTAGTCAAGTTAGTAGTGTATAAAATGAGGCAATAGAAATAACGTAAACTTACAAATGCATCACTGGAAACTGCAACTTGAGTGAGCTTCGACATCCATTCTTCTCTCTCCTTTTCAGTGAACTCGGCAGGAACCTCTTCAAAGAAACCTTCGTATCCTTCACGCTCTGGACCAGATTTTGGCAATTCACCACTGACGAGGAGATCAATTGCATTGCTCTTGTCAGGGCGCTTGGTACCAGTCTTGAACTTGATACCCAAAACACGTGGATGAAACCTCAACCACCAGTTATCGGCCTTATCTCCGGCAAGTCGGGTGCAGTGAATGCGAGATTGTTGACCAGCTCCCAAGCCAATGACTTGACCATTTAGGGCGTAGCAAACAGAGTTACTTTGTGTATATTTCAATGCGATAGTAGCCACTGTCAAGTCTCGGACAGCTGAGTCGGAAAGAGGGGCGGACTCTTTTGGTGTAATGATGGAAGAGAATGACTTGGGGGAAATGACAATATCGTTGCGGCGTTGGCTCAAGTTGATGCCATAAACGGTTCTTGTCTCTTGTTTAGGTGGTGTGAAGTCGGGGTCCATTTGAAGGACAAGGTACTTACCACCCTTCTTTTTTCTCAAGATCTCAAGGGCGGCATCCTCGTAGCCTGGAGCAATAACACCATCCGAAACTTCTCTTGAAATAATCTTGGCAGTTGGAACGTCAACGATATCACTCAATGCAATCATATCTCCGAAACTGCTCATTCGGTCTGCACCTCTGGCACGTGCGTATGCCTGAGCCAAAGGAGAATTCTCCAAACCAGCAATGTCATCGACCATGTAGACTTTACGCTCATCAGCTGTGAGAGGAACACCAATTGCAGCACCTGCAGGTGAGACATGCTTGAAACTGGCCGCTGCTGGGTGACCAAGGGCGGCCTTGAGCTCCTTAACTAAAGGCCATGCATTGAGAGCGTCTAGAAGATTGACATATCCTGGGGAGCCACAAAGAACCTTGAATGGCATAGGTCCCTCACTGACATAGGCTTGAGCAGGCTTCTGATGTGGGTTGGCACCATATCTCAAAGCAAGTTGTTGTACACCCTCTCCAGCATATTGCTTACGGAAATAATCCGAGATGGAAGCGTCATAATCCGCAGTATGTTCAAAAGCCTTCAATGCATACAACTTTCTGCTACGCTCTGTGACATCACCCTTCGCAAGTTCTTCCAAGAATTCTGGATAATCTCCTGGGTCGGTCAAGATTGTGACTCGAGTGTGGTTTTTGGCAGCAGCTCTGATCAAAGTAACTCCTCCAATATCAATATCCTCGACAGCCTCAGGGATTGTAACATTAATCTTGTTGATTGTCTCCTTGAAAGGGTAAAGGTTGCAGATGACGTAGTCTACTTTGTCGATGTTCTGCTCTGCGAGATCTTTTTCGTCGGATGCAAGGTCGCGAGCAAGGATACCGGCGTGAACTGATGGATGGAGTGTCTTGACTCTACCACCCAACATCTCTGGGGCATGAGTGATTGCGGAAACATCTCTAGGTTTACACGTTAGAGATGTAAATGATATTTTATCGCATTGGTGATAGGGTTTTCAAGGTCGAAAAGTTCAAAAGGTGAGGGAGCGTCTTACTCAACTGGGAAACCAGACTCTCTAATCATTTTAGAGGTCCCACCTGAAGCAAGAAGACGAACATTCTGCTTGATCAATCCCTTGGCCAGATCAAGAAGCCCCTTCTTGTCATAGACAGAAATGATAGCTATTGAATCATGTCAGTCGAGGAGGTTCTATTAATTACGATCTTTCCTTTCTCTATTTGAATGGCATAAGACTAACTGACCAGTCTTTTGGGCAGACATTGTGCTTTGCTGCAAGAATCTGTGTGAGTGAAAAGAGTAATCGATACAAATTGAAGGGAAAAGAGATGGGAATTGAACAATTTATCACGTACTTTAAATGAATAGAAATCTGGAGATTTTGAATCAAACGATGAAGTTTGTTAGTTACAAATTATAATTCAACGCGGGGCAATAGGTCAGTCAATAAGTTTTTTTGTCAGGCTTGTCCCATTTCGCGGGTTGAGTGGTGGGGTGATTGACACTAATCCTGAGATGGTCTAGATCGTGGATGATTAAGCGAATGGAAAAAAATTCGAACATAAAAAGGTTCAGACACTTCCCAAGATTTCTCTTTTTCTTCTGCACAAACTTCTTCGGAAGTACAACGCATACATCACATTCGCTATAAAGCATTTTCGGTGAGAAACCCGTCATCATTCGTGATGATGTGAGGTTTCCACGACCTTGAGAATCGTCAGTCGAAATGGAGAGAAATTGATCGATCTTGGGTGCGGCGCTTCCTTTTTCACTATAGGAAGGGTCGCAATGATTGGCCATACATTCCAATCTTTGTAAATTTGTATTTTTGATTTGATGCATTAGCTTGTCATGGTGATAAATAAGTGATGAGTGGTTGCTTGCTGTCATGAAGGTTATTGAAGTACACCTGATGCCACAACGTATGAACCTGATATGTATGATCTGGATGGTGGTTGAATGTCTGGCATTTGACTGTTGTCGACACATACAAGATGCCGTGCAACACCGAATAACCTGATGTGATGCGCCATGCAAGCGGTCTCTATCTTATCAATATGGAGAGAGTGATGATCACAGATTATCCATACAAGCCCATGAAGCACAAAGGGATACGAGCTACATGGCTTGAGTGACGGAAGATGCGACTTGATACCGTTTTATCTTTATCCCGTCTCTATCTAGGTACCGGTAGCCCTTTTCATGTTCGACGAATGTGTCAAGCAAATTCATCCGGGTGAATATACAATATCTCAATTCTGACTTGTCATGACTCATGAACCTATGTAGAATTAAACCTGTGAACATCACTCATCTTGGTCGTTTTTGCAGTTCAAGCTTATTGTTGTGTGGTTACTCGTACAGTCGTAGATATCAGGATTAGAAAAAGCAAGACCGACCGTACAAGATGTGCCATACATGCTAAATAAGCAGGTATGGAAGGGGTGATGCTGCACGTCGCTATCTCAGGTGTACGAGCTTATGACTTATTCAAGAAGTATTTACCTACGTGTATCATGTCTTGTTGAGGAATCCCTACTTTGCACTCTGATTCTTGTAAGTCTTACACTTTCGTTTCCTTATCACAATCCCACTATGAAGTTAAATAAATATAAACAGCACATCGTAGGGTGTGAATTTAGAGCCCGATCAGCCTTATGTTCCGCGTACTAGGTGTGTATATAGTAGAATTCTGGATAAGTCTATTTTATTTGTTTATCACCACTGCGGTAATGGATTGCTGACTTTCGGTCCTTGAGAAATCACAGATTCTGGAAAATCTCAATGGATACTGCTGAAGGTTATTGATCTTCCGAATAATCGACTAATAGTCTAGCACTGTTCAGCTGAACATATGCCATCGTAGAGTCTCTGGAATGGAGTTGCGCATGGTATTGTCATATGAATGAAAACCGTTCAGACCCACAAACCTCATGTATTGCTACAATTCTACATCGATCTGTACTGGCAAGTGTCAAGATCGCATCTTGGTTCTTTACTCCTGCGATAATCTTTGCTGTCTTTTGATTCATGTCAATACTTTGGAGGTTCTGCGATATGCGGACAGTCACAAATTAATCTTTATAATTGTAAAGTTAAAGCAAAGTCTTTTTAAAATATTGTCAGTAACATGCTCTGCACGACCATTTTGCATGGCATTACTTGTATCTCAAAGAAACTTTTGGCCCTGGATTGAATATGAAATGCCAACCATCAATGATTTTGAGATATATGATGTTGTTTCCGTTAGATTCCTAGCGCGCTAAGCAGAAGGGGTCGGCATCTTCTCCATAAATTCTTCAGGCAAGCAAAGCATAACATACACCATGAAAGAGTCTCTTCGAACCACGACGGGCTTGGTTCGATCTGGATCCCTACTTATATTAATATGATTACTCCAAGAGCTTTCCGTGAATTGATGGGAATGGAAGAATGTAACTGAAGGTTATTTGTCAGAATGACGACGTTGGGATCTTTCTTTCATAATCGAATTCAATATCTCATCCTCTTCAAATCATTTCTATCGGGTAGTCTTAACTTTATCGCGACTTCTACAGTAGACTGTATCATCTCGTAACTTTTAAAGTGCCTTGAGATGCTACTCTAGAAGACGACTTTGAGAATTATGCTCAACACCAAGGTCATCAATGGCCGTGGGCGAACATGCAATGTCCATGGTAAACTACATGCTATTGTATCTCTACTAGCTATCCTGATATTCAACATCTGCCCCGTAAGACTTAAGAATCTTGTGTTTCTCAAATCAGAATGTTCAGAAAGTTGCGAGAATTTCTAGCTATGTCTTCCGGGCCCTGAAAGCGAGCCTTTTGAATCGCTCCGTCGATGGATCGAAACCGAGTTCTTCTCATGAAAGTCTTCGCCATCAATCAGCGAATATGAGTTGCCCATGCGACTCCGGCGAAAGAGGTAGTCCTAAAGCAGACGGAGTGCTCCCGAAATCGCGCGTCGGAAGCATCTTAGGTTGTAACTGTATCCTGCTATGTATTCATTGATCAGCCAAACAGAAGGTACGGTGGTATTCAAAGTACACCGGTCAAATAATGGCTGTGGGAAATGATTCTTTGGTACATAGTTAATAGATTCGGTGTGTTCTTCAATCTGTCGGGGATATTGGTACGATTGAGTGGGAACACTGAATATAACGTGTTTCGGAGGTGGTTCCATGATGCACCTCTGTGTGAAAATAGCATCTCTCACCAGGAGTACATCTTCGTACCCTAAAAGAATGTGCTGTCAGCCATAAAATTACTCGGAAACCTTCGTTTGGACATACGAGCATCAAAACCTCCACCTGAGAACTTTGAGTTGAGAAAAGACTCGATGTTCACCAAATCCACTGTGTTGATGCCGCATGTAACAATACATCTTGCTCGCAGATTATAACGTAGTTCCCAGATCCCAAGCAAACCACTGTCAAGCATTTTTCTCGGTCGTCTCGGTGAAAACAGGAATGTCAATTCTCCATCCAACGACCGTGATATAAAAATCGAGGAGCAGCAACAAATGCACACGCTTTCTCGACTAACCTCTTAATCCTATACAGATTGCACAGTTAGCCAAGCAAACTCTGTTGTGATGGGATGCATAATCGCTTTGTGCTCAAATATTGGAGATTACGGTGAATCATGACGATGGTGATAGCAGCAACGAACCTGGATATGAGCATTTGACGTGTATTGATGGTGGTGCTTCAGTGGATAGAGTATGAAGCATCGAGAGTAAATCTGTGTCGCTTTTCGCAATGAATATGTACTTTTCTATACCGCAGTCTTTGAGTCATTCCTTGAGCTAGTCAATATTGAGAATTGAGGGTTACTTTAATGTCAAACACAATGAGAGATAGATCCGGTGATCATGCCAAAATCCGTTCTTTACAAGTTTCGATAGGATGGAAGAGCGAGGTTTTGGTGGATAGCAGATTAATAAGGGAATGTGGTATACCGAAAGATGTATGTAGAAAAAAGGGCGAACAGAATGGAGGATTTGTGAGAAAGGCGAGTGAAAGTCATTGAATGAATGCACCCGAGCTATCTCGCCGCTGTTAGATTCCCGGGACAATCAACTTACTTAGCAGAGCGGATTTAGCAGGTTGTTTGTGAGAGCCAATGTGCGATTAATAAATGAAGACGAAGTCGGTATTGAAGGCACGGAAGCATGTGCTATCGTTGAGATTGAGTTGAGAGTTAGAGATTCTCGATACTATTCAAAGTAGGACGTACGGCATATGGCATCATTCATGATTATGTGGAGATAAAAAAACCTTAGTGGAAAATCGGCTGTTCATGCAGTTCCAGATTCTATCTGTCGTGTATATAGTATCTTCCTTGTACTCATCGTAATATCTGGGATACTAGCGCGCCCACTCGGATATAGAATTAGGTCCTCCTTATCTGGACTCTTGTACACGTAGCATATTGGCGAAACGTTTCGTCTCTCCCCTCCCCCAAAAGCCATGGCAAGGAATTAAATACCAATGCGCTTCTTCCCCGTAAATGGACTGCGCTGCAAAGCCATCTTGTCTGCTGAGATAGCAAAGTCACAAATAACTATCAAAGTCTTGCGAACGTTCCCTGAGTTATATACTTACGGCTCAAAGGATTCAGAAGAAGCATTCTCGACAGCATCTGCGACGACAGTAAAGAATGCTTGAGGATATACACGAACCATGCGGGACGACTGAGCAACTTATTTTTCCTTCGAAGCCTTCACATCACAAGATTACAGCGCGATTCTACCCATAAATATTTCTCGGCCCGTAGTTCCTGTGACGGCAATAGCACCGAAAAAATGGTTCTGGTGTCTCGGATTGAAGCCTCATAAGTCATGTGTAGTAGTAAACACAGTAATCATAATCACTTAAGGCAAAGACGTTCTAAATAAAGGATTGACTTCATTTACTGCATGGCAAATGAGCACTTTGTGTTGTTTATTTTAAGTTCATCAAACTATCCAAATTATAATCACATACTTAGATGGAGTAGTAAGAAGGTAACATAAAAATTCAAAGTAATTGATCCCCGAAACGTACAGCTGACTTTTCCGTACTGCAAATGTTCGTCGTCTCAATGGGATAATATCTACTAATATCGAATCCGTACAAAACAAGTCCCTAGAAGAAGGATTCTATCGAGCAAACTAGGAAATAGTTGAAAGCCCAATTGTGAAACCCTATAATAAGTATAAAGCTAACCTCCAAGACCAATCAACAATATTTCGATCAACTGCCAAGCGAGAGAACGGCAATCTTGCATCAACACCTCTCGCTTTTTCGACCCAAAGAGTTGGCTATTTTTTCGCAAATACATGCAATCGTACTTTCACTTGTGGTTCCATAGAGTGTCTCGCGAACTGGCTGGCCTAGAAAAGACTTCTTAACTATCACTCTATCTCATGGTTCCGAATTCGTGGCTTTTCGGTAGAAAGGACACCTGTGAAGTGTGTGTGTTTCCTAATAGCCTATTCTTCTCTGATCCAAATTAATCCCGTGTGAGTGTCCTCTCGTATGTAATTTACGTGACAATATTTCCGCAGTAAGCTTTAGTTGTAGATACCAAATCTTGGCGATAGTTTGGATCTCGATGTCACAAATATGTAGATCCCATTTAGATATATCAAAATAACATGCTATACCATAACGTACATAACTTAGCCGGTGTACACTTTGATCAATCACTTTTGCATGTGATGTATCGCACCATTCATGCTACACAATTGTACGCCCTACTCCAGTGTGGTTCTACAATCACCAGTATTCGGCACTCACCATTCGCACACCCATACCTAGTGATCACATGCGTGTACCTACATGCCCTCTTAAATCTCACAAATTTGCAAATCCCTTTCCCTCCCAGATATACGCAATCACAGCCACATCTTATTCTCCGTCGCAATGTATTTGATAAGAAGGGAAATTCGCCACATTCATTATCTACATTTCGAATTTAAATTGACATCTGACTGCGACTTACGATTCGTTCATGCAATTATGAAGCATCTCGATGCTAATGTGTAAATAAGCGAGCGAAAAAAAATCTTAAGGGGGCGCCGCTTACGTCCTTCCTATTCGATAAAGTTTATGTTTTTGTTCATCTCATCGGTATATTCCGTCTTGATTATAAGCTTTCTGAAAAAAATGGTCTGATCTTTACGTCTTTGTCATCGTATTTAATTTTGAGTTTGAGTTTGGCGAAATGCCGGAGCGGAGGTAATACAACTTGGCGGGGAAGACTCTTAGGTGCATGGATGATATTGTCTATGGATACCTAGGTAGTGTAGGGTGGCAAATTTCGACATCTTTTTTCTTTTTTGCCGAAGAAACTTCTTTGGGTAATGCCTTTGAGAAATTAGTTTTGGGTATGAATGAATGAATGCGGTAAACGATCGAAGTAGAGATATAGGGATGTGAACTAGGAATGTCGCAAATTGAATGGATTTGCAGTGAAATATTTGAGGGGTTTTTAGATAATAACTACATGAGAACCTGGCTAATACAACATGGCTACATGTATGTATACAGACATGCCACCAAATCGCAAAGATACGAAACCAAAATCATCATCGTAAGACTCGCTCGCTTGCTCAACACTCGTGTGACGCCTCGCCAAGCAATCCGACTCTTTCTGAAATATTAACCTCAATGTTGTGCTTTTGTGATAATCGTGACTCGTAAGTCGTCTGCATCGCATGATTCGCATCGATCCAAAAGCTTTCATATCAAAAGAGAATGTTAACGTGCGTTATCCAGCATGCATGTATACAATGAAAGAAGAAGGGCAGGGCGCCCGAGCCAACACGAATAATGAACACAAAAATTGAAGAGACTTTTCCCACGTCATTTTCCACACCCAATCTGATTGATACCCACATCAACGTCCCTTTTCATCTTAATTATAAGAACGCATCTGTTGATATCCACCGGGAGGCATCATTTGATAGGGCACCGGCATCGGCATTGGCATTCCCTGCATCTGAGGCAAACTGGGCACAACAGGACTTGGAACCCTATGAAAAAGCCCCACCAATCTCTTTCCAATACTCGTTTCCAACTCAGTCCCATCCCTCGCGATCTTCACTTCGCGATTTGAATTCCACGGGTTACGAAGTCCGCGTGTACGATAGAATGGCAATCGAGTCGTCGATATCCATTCAAGCCTGAAGGGTTTACCCCAGGCCTTTGACGGCGCATCGCCTTCCACATCGCTCTTGCCACTTTGAGATCTATCATCTTCCTCTACGTCTTCAAAATCGTCGTGCTCGACTTCCCAGAAAATTGTTCCACGAGCTGAATCATCGATAATGCGTCCTTTGGGTGCAAATTCAGATGCTGGCGTTGAGATTGCTTTGGGAAGATCGGGATCTTCGACCGCCTGGGCCTTGGGCGCAAATTCAATGGCTGCTGCTGGGTCCTCGTTGATGGGCGAGATCATGCGTGCGTACCCAAAATATTCGCCCGATTTATTCGCTGAAAATATGAGATAGACATTATCTGCTGCCTGTCGCTTTATGTTAGAATGTCTCGGTTGAAATTCGGATTAAATTACCTGGTATGCCTTATTCAAAGCTTCTTCGTTGTGTGTCTGAGTTGCCCAAATCCCATTTCGTACGCTTAATTCTAGATCCTCAACCGTAAGACTCTTGACCACGAAGAATTTATCCTTTGTGAGAGGTAGAGAATCCCTTTCTGGGTCCTGTGCCTTTTCATCAGCTGCTTTTGAAACCTTTTCATTTTCCGAATCAATCGATGGGATTGGTGATGACTGTGGAAGTGTCAAAGCTGCTGGGCCTGTTGGAACAGAAACACCCCCGACGGTCCCAACGGACGCTTTCCGTAAACGACTGACAAGTCGTACGGTTTGAAATCTCGAATCATGAATCTTCAGTTGCGCTGCGACACATGCAGCCTCATCCTTGAAATTTGCAAAAGCGCAGTTACTCTTGGATATCAAAAATAGTGACTCAAGGCCAACAGTCTCTTTGCAAACGTGAAGGACGAGGCTCATGAGATCTGTCTGGGGTGGTAAATTGCCGATCCACTAAAGCATAGAAAGGTTAGTTGTTGCCAATCAAGGAGGTCTTCCTAATTCAACTAAGAAGTTTAAAGCTTAGTTTAGAGTCGAGGGAATACATGAGACTGGGTATATAGATTTCGATATGGTATGTGGAATGAAAATAGTAACTATGCTCACGATCGCGTGTCCTAGCGCAAATTCGTTAGTTTTAGGAAACCTTTTAAGTAAAATTCGAGCGAGGAATCAGATTAGACATACCACTTTGACGGGGCTTTCGTGGAGGTCCTCTGACGACTGATGATTGTGTTGGACTAGAGACTATGATATGCTTAGCATTGGGTTTCAAAGGCCACTTTAAGAAGCCTAGAGCTTACCAACGCTATTCGACTTCCCGACCTGACCCGTCACATTGA